TGAATGCTCAACGTGCGCGCCCGTTAAAACACATCAAAGTTACGCATTTACATAAATAGTACATACAAGTCAAATAAAATGTCCTGAAACTTCATCATGTATTGTTTAAGTGGATAGTAGGCCTACATCAAACTGTAAATTGAATGAGAATATGAAAGCAGTAAATGCAAAACATTGTTTGAAGTCAGTTTATATATATATAAATATACATACCAACAGAATATACTATTCTATAATATAAGCTATAATATCATATATCATATCATATGAGGCATGAATATAATTTCACACATGTAAACACATAATTAAACACGCAACATGAGTTTTATGTTATGCATTTTAAAAATATATTTCAATATATTTAACAGTGTTTCACATATATGTGAATATATTACCTTTCTGTATGCGAAAACATTGGGATTTTACTCAAAAATATTTGAAATGGATTTTAAATTTGGGTCAAGATCGGCCATACTTATGTGGCCCACATATCTATATTTGACATCTGGCCCATGTCTTGTGTGCCGTCTTAAACCCGGTACCATCTCTGCCAAACCCGGGCCATGTTTGGCCCACATGCTGCATGCCAGTGCCGGATGCATGCCAGCTGTGCCAGATGCATGCCAAATCTGGGCCAAATTTGTTTGCTGACTGGGTACCTACAAAAAAAGTATCCCGGTACAAAGTCTGAAACCCAACAGGTACATTTTTACTTTTCTTGACAGGTTTTGTGATGTTTTTGCCATTTTCAGGCACTGTATTAAACAAACTCTTCCTAGAGATTTAAACAGATCATCACCAAATTTGATCAGTGTAATCTAAAGCCCTTTGTGATGTTAAATTGCGAAGATCTTGAGTTTTCGTTGGAGGGCGTGTCTGTGGCGGCATGACAAACTTCGATGTTTCGCCATGGGAATAGGAAGTTGTTATAATTTCACACGTTCAATAAGAGTCCTGGCCTGAACACATCTAAAGGCCAATATTCATTTATAACCATAGCGCCACCAGCTGGCAGCAGGAAGTTTGGCACATATAAATGACTTGGACATATTCCTTCTATATGTACCACTTGTCTGGTTCCGTTTTAATGTGTTTTTTATCAGCATAAAAATAAATTGTGCATTTGTATTAGCATAGTATTTTCAGTGCATACAAATACATTACTGAAATAAAATATTAAAGCAACATAGAGTAAAACGAGGTTTTCCCTTCTCATTGAAGTTTGAACTGCACAGTAAGGATAGATCAACAAATGTTGTCCTATATTTACCCATCAGCTGGGCTACAAACCACACAAACTGGGCAGCGTTTGCAGTGTTGCCCTGCAGCGCCATGCACACGCTTGTGAACTGAACTGATGGATGCTGGCTGCAGTGACGGACGGTGGGCCGATGCATATCTCCCTGATAGCACACGCACATCACCTCTATCTGACCTCTATCTGACCTCTGTCTGACATCTGCATCTACATCTACGTCTAAAGGACATTCAGATGTCAAATAGATGTCTTTAAGATGTTTATGATTATGTTTATCTTACAGACGTCTGTCAGATGTTTGTTCACAGCAGATGCTTTCCAGAGCAAGCGATCTTTCACAGACATCTTGCAGACGTACGTGTCTCTACTGACACAATTATAAGTGCTTTCAAATTATAAGCTACACAGTATATTCAATGTGTCAGTATAGCGCTCTTATACTACAGAATGAAAAATATTAATTACATCTTAGATATATATTGTTGAAATGTGTTTAGTTTGTAGCCAGATAAAGTGTTTATTCTGGTCAAAATAAACACAAGTTGTTACAATAACCAACACACTGAAAGAAAAACATCAAGAGACAAAATACAATGTATACATAAAATGTATATTTGATGATTTAGAAGAGCAGTCTCGTCTGGATCTCCGTGTCCGCCGCGGCGCTCCGTACTCGAGCACAGACCGAATGCACGGAACCAGCGGCTGTCTGCGGCGCTGCTCGGTAATCAGCCGCACCGTGGCTCCGTCGTCGGCTCGAGCTCGTGTATTATATTGAGGGTAAGTCTGATTAAATACGCAAGGAATGATTATCGTGTCGATGTCTGCAGTGTGAGCTCCAGCACAGCATCAGGCTGTCGGGCGCTGCGTCGCTGTGACTCCGGATCCGACGCGAGCTCCGAACACTGCAGCGGCTCGAGCTGGACGGCATTTTATTCTCCTGTCAAATCTGCATGCTCGGCTTATTTGCCCAAAACGAGCCGCAGTTTGATGTTTCCAGGGGCAGGAGTGAGTTGATGGCTCGGCAGAATCATCTGACACTAAAGCCTTCTTCCTCCTGCCTCATCATCATCATCATCATCATCATCATGGACCACAGAAGACCTGGACAATACAGTGCATTTACAAATGAAGCTTCTCAGGCCTGGAACAGTCATGGAAACTAATGCAATCTCAAAATGGGAATTTGCGTAGTGAATTTTTCTTGTGTAAAATAGATTAAATAAAATGATGATATGGAAAAAAGATAATTAACTGGTCAAAGCTGCATGAACTGCTGTCAAGGTGTGATGTTTCCTGCCAGTCGCTGATATTATTTGTATGAATCTGTATTTATTCTCTGTAATTCACTCCTTCAACTAGATGATGTTATGAAGCATCGTTGATCCCAGAGGGAGCCATTTAGATTCAAAACTGCAGCATTGTTTTGGAAGAGAAAAAAGTCCCTTAAGAAAAGTCATGTAAATAAATTGGGCTTATATAGAGAGAGAGAGAAAGCAGACGTTATTATATGGTGATAGTTTATAAAGTCAGATTTTAATGGGCATAAACGTTCTGTCCTAAACCTCGAATGCAGGCTGAGTCTGTGGCATGTCCACCCCGGAGCCCCCGTTAGGAGGCACGCCCTGCCCGGGGCCCTCGCCTGGTCCGGGCCCATCTCCAGGGGCCATGCTGGGGTCCGGACTGTCCCCTGGATCCTCACACAGCATGATGGGCCCCAGTCCCGGACCAGCCACTTCCACAGGACTCTCCTTTCCTCCGCAAGCGCCTGCGGGATACAGCCAGGAGAGTCTGCACCAGATGCACAAGGTGGAGGTCTAAACCAGCCTCAAAGCCCAATAGCAGAGGTCATATCTCTATTAATGTCTTTCTTTGTCCTAAAGCCGGTGGAGGAGAACCTTTCAGAAGACGCTCGCTTCACTCAGATGAAGGTGGTTCCGATGAGGATGACCCGTCCAGGGAGCCCGATGGACCAGCACTCGCAAGGTAACGCACCTCATGCTCCTCACCAGCAGCAGAGTAATGAAACCACATTTATTTATCTTATATGCACTAAGCTACTGAGCTATGCTTTGATGCAACCTCCCAACTTTTCTCCTTTTTATCAAAATGTGCTATTTACCTTGGACTGTGTAATATAATTTTAACTTTATATTTAACAGCAATCAAGATGTTTTTAACATTACAAAACACGTTCTCATGTTAGCAGACAGATTACACTTTCACATGTGACCAACAATTCCTCAACAAATATAAAATATCATAATGAAATATCAAAATATTCATCTGACGGTGGTGACGGAATGATGAATTTGCAGTTATTTTAACTATCTAATGCATTGAATCAATCAATTACTGTATTAAAACAAAAACAACAGTGAGAATGTTGTTGTTTATAAAGCTTTTATTCAAGATTCACATTTAAGCATTTTAGTATATCACTGGAACACAAATGATCTATTTTCTCTCATCTCAGAACAGTATGTCTTGTATAAGTTTTAAAAACTGTTAAATGAACAAATAAAACAATTAATTGTTACCTCTATCCATTTACAGATTAACATCTTAACAAATTATCCAAAAATGATCAGAATACAAACAAACTGTATTATGTAGATATGTTTTATCCGGTGGTGTGTTCCCTCAAGCCTAGCTCTGCTAGAAGTGATGACTGTCAATCCACAAAAGCAATATCTGCTGTATATTTAGTATTTATACATTATTAGAAAAACAAAACATCCCAACCGAGACGATGTGTTACTGCAGTGTGTCTCCTCCTGCAGGATTCCCGTCTCCGCTGGGCTCTTCAGAGCTCGTGTCCAGTCCCGTGTCCGGTCCTCTCCTGTCCACCTCTGGCTCTAGCTCTGCCTCGCTGGACGGTGTGGACAGCCAGAGCCTCCCGCAGCAGAACCGTCCGGTAAGCCAAAGCGCGGCCCCGGGCCCCAGCGGCTCCTCCGCTCCGACGCCCTTCAACCAGAGCCAGCTGCACCAGCTGCGGGCGCAGATCATGGCGTATAAGATGCTGGCACGCGGGCAGCCGCTCCCAGAACACCTGCAGATGGCGGTGCAGGGCAAGCGGCCCATGCCAGGGATGCCCCAGGGACCGTCTCTGACCAGCCTGCCCCCCGGCGGAGCGAGCGCCGGCTTCAGCCGAGGACATGGTGAGCACATCTGACTCTCCTAACACACACACACACACACACACACACCCGAATCACTGATGATGGGACTCTTTATCTGAACACGAGGTACGTACTGTAATGTTTCACTGGTTACGGACCGCAGGGTTGGGCAAAATTCAGAATTTAGTTATTTGATTTCATTTGAATTGAATTAAATTGGTCCCGTAGGAGGTTGAACTGAAATGGCAGGAAGATGAACTGACTGAGAAATGTCATTAATCTAATGTAAATTCTGTGACATTGTTTAATAGTGACATCATTCATTGTCTATTAGTGGCTTTTCAAGTATTGATTATTAAAATCATTATTAAAGAGGTGGTTGACTGTTTTTTTTTCTAGGCTTGATTGTGTTTATGGGGAGCAGTGTAACGTCTTCATGCTTCGTAAAAAAAAAAAAACACCTTATTTTTCATATATTTTACCTTTATTCTACGCCGCTGTCTCATTGTCATTTAAACGGCTGGTTGACGTCCTCTTTCTGTGACACCACTCCCTCTTAACTACACAATGGGCTTAGATCAGTTAGCTGGCCCAGTGTATATGATTCGTTAACCGTGTATCGCACGTTGTCGGGAAACGTCACGCCCCTCACCATTACAGGCAATAGTTGCATGTGCTTTGTTCCCGGGGGCGGGGTTTGTTAATTGCAGGGTTTGTGATGTCACCAACCCGGGAAGTAGCTCACTGTAGACTCTACCAGTCATAATTGTAGGCATTAAACAGACTTTTCTTTAAAAGACAATATCTCCATTTCCATCGAACTTTCAGTTTTATTTTTTCAGTTTACAGATATTTTTTATGCTATAAACAGCAACATTACACACTAACTAAAGTTTAAAAAGTGAAATCGCAATCAACCACCCCTTTAATTCTTAAAATACTCCAATGAAATGTATAATAAAAAATTGCACAGTTTTACAAATTTGTATTTCATTTGATTTAATTTCTAGGTCCTTAAAGTCACAATTCAAATTCTGTGTGTAACCTCGCTCCTAATTCAGATTGAGTGTGTTTCTGAATGATTCTGGAGTGGAAGTGTGTTGAACATTCAGCGGCGCTGCACTCGTCTGTGGTGACTTTAGTAAAGGGTTAGTTTGTGCCGGTTGCTCCGCAGGGATGGTGGGACCCAACATGCTTCCTCCTGGACCTTCTGGAGTCCCGGCTGGTGTTCAGGGCCAGAACCACAACGGGCCCCCGAAGCCGTGGCCTGAAGGTGAGAGCGCATCCGTGAACTTCTTCTGGTAGCACGCTTCTTCTGGTAAAGCAGCCTGTGATGATGTGTGTCTGTGTGGCAGGTCCTCTGGTCAATGCGGCGACCCCCTCGAACGCTCCTCAGAAGCTGATGCCGCTGCAGCCCACCGGACGCCCCTCTCCTGCACCCCCGTCTGTGCCACCGGCCGCCTCTCCGGTAATGCCACCGCAGACCCAGTCTCCAGCACACCTGGGCCACTCGTCTCAGCCTGCCACCATGGTGCCGCTGCACCAGAAGCAGAACCGCATCACGCCGGTTCAGAAGCCCTGCGGTCTGGACCCGGTGGAGATCCTGCAGGAGAGAGAGTACAGGTGAGTCCTAGCCCTGACCCTGACAGAACCACAGGCAGAGAACAAACGATCGCACTCAGAGAACACTGCCACCACTGCTCGTTAAACCAGCCTCCTCTAAACCAAAAGAAACTACGCTTTCAGGCTTCTAGTGAACCTGCACTGAAGTGATTTACTCGGTTATCTGTTCTGAACTCTTTCCCCACCAAACATCCATGTTCATGCTGTTATACACTAGGGGGCGCTATTACGCATCTCCTGAATGAGTCCAGAATCTGCCGATCAAAAACACTGGTGGAGAAAGAGTTAATACAGGTACATAGATTTCAAATCACTGTGATAGAGTTTAAATATGTACCGTTTAACTGGAAAGGCAGACTGCACGTATTCAGGATTGTTGGTGATAGTTGGTGAGTTTTTCAGGCACAAATCGGCTCGTTCGTGCGGACTACACCGGCTCAGTCTCACTGCCGAGTGGTTCCTGGACTTCTGATGCTTTGTGTCTCTGCAGGCTGGAAGCTCGTATCACTCACCGTATTCAGGAGCTGGAGAATCTTCCAGGGTCTCTGGCTGGAGATCTGCGCACCAAAGCCACGATTGAGCTCAAAGCACTCCGACTGCTCAACTTCCAGAGACAGGTGATGAACCCGGACTGACGCTGTGATCCACATCAATCTACTGACATATTCCACTGCATCAGTGCATCTGTTGAACATCCTCTGCTAAAGTGCTCTGATGTTCATCTGTTTGCCTTCACAGCTGCGTCAGGAAGTGGTGGTTTGCATGAGACGCGACACGGCCTTAGAAACCTCACTGGACTCAAAGGGCTACAAGCGCAACAAGAGACAGTCGTTACGTGAGGCACGAATCACAGAGAAACTAGAGAAACAGCAGAAGATCGAGCAGGAACGCAAACGCAGGCAGAAACACCAGGCAAGTGGCTCTAGCACACTCACAGCGGCTCTCTGATTCCTCCAAACACCTGAGAGCACACTGGAAATCTGGGATTTAAAATCTAATTTAAACTTGCAAATAAACAGCTCATTTTATGATTTTGAAGGAAAAGTGATGATGTAGAACAAAAAACACATAAACACAGTGATCATTGATCATGTGGTTCTTCCAGTGAAGCTGAAGATGCTCCGAGAACATGATGATCAGGTTTAGATGACGCTCCAGTGCTGATTCTCATATCCATCTTCCTTCTGCACTCACTCATATTGTGATGCTGATCTTATGACTAGTGATGAAATATTTAGTGCTAAATTACAGGAGAATGCAAAATAAGAAACATTTCCACAAGTGCTCTCAGACGTTTGGAGCTCACTTCAGTCACTGTGTTAATTCCCATGATTCATTGCTCTGCTGCAGGAATATCTCAACAGCCACATACTCACACACACACACACACACACTCTCTCTCACACACACACACACAAACACACACACATACTCACACACTCACACACGCACACACACACATACTCACACACACATACTCACACATACTCTCTCACACACACATACACATACTCACACACTCACTCACATACTCACACACACACACACACACACACACACATACACACACACACACACACACACACACTCTCTCTCACACACACACACACACACACTCTCTCTCTCACACACACACACACATACACACTTACCTGAGGTCAGGTGTGTAGCTCGTGTATATTGTGTGTCCTGCAGGCTGAGGATGAGGAGGGTTACCGGAAGCTCATTGACCAGAAGAAGGACAAGCGTCTGGCGTATCTGCTGCAGCAGACGGATGAGTATGTGGCTAATCTGACGGAGCTGGTCCGTGCTCATAAAGCTGTGCAGGCCCTGAAGGAGAAGAAGAAGAAGAAGAGGAAGAAGAAGAAGCTGGAGAACGCGGAGGGCCAGACGGGGGCTCTGGGGCCCGATGGAGAGGTGGGTTCAGCAGTAGGGTTACTTTGCTCCGGGTGTGAAGCGTCACAATATCCAATATTTTTTAAAAGCCGTGAATGTCTGAAAAGTCTGTGCAGCACTGATTTAAAGGAGGCTTTGGTGATGATGATGATGATGATGTTTACAGCCCCTGGATGAGACGAGTCAGATGAGTGATCTTCCAGTGAGGGTGATCCATGTGGACAGTGGGAAGATTCTGACCGGAGTGGACGCTCCTAAAGCTGGACAGCTGGACACATGGCTGGAGATGAACCCTGGGTAAGATGACAGTCGATCGTGTGTGCTGCTGATGATTCGGTCATCTCCACTGACCTCTCTCTCTCTCTCTCTTCAGTTACGAGGTCGCTCCGCGCTCGGACAGCGAGGATTCTGGGTCGGAAGAGGACGAGGTTCCTTCAGCTGCTTTCTGACCGTACCAGATTAAACTGAGAGAACAAGATTCATTAAAGATGTTCTATGATTGTTTCCTGACAGGAAGAGGAAGAGGAACCTCCTCAGCTGCTGGCGTCACAAACTTCCACAGAAGAGAAGAAGAAGATTCCCGACCCGGACAGTGAGGACGTGTCTGAAGTAGATGCCCGTCACATTATAGAGTAGGACAAACTCACACATCTGCAGGCTCTGTAGATGTGTGTGTGTCTCTCGTGTGTGTGTGTGTGTGTGTGTGTGTGTGTGTGTGTGTGAGTGAGAGAGAGAGAGTGTGTGTCTCTCATGTCTCGTGTGTGTGTGTGTGTGTGTGTGTGTCTCTTATGTCTCTTATGTGTGTGTGTGTCTCTCATGTCTCTTATGTGTGTGTGTGTGTGTGTGTGTGTGTCTCTGCAGGCATGCTAAACAGGACGTGGACGATGAGTACGGCAGCGCAGCGTTTGCTCGTGGGTTACAGTCGTATTACGCCGTGGCTCATGCGGTCACTGAGCGGGTGGACAAACAGTCGTCTTTGCTAATCAACGGTCAACTCAAGCAATACCAGGTCATTCTCAGCTCTTACCAGTCGTTCAACATCAACACTTTCAACATTACCAGACGACTGCCGAGGGTATCTGAGAACAGGCGATCGATGCGCACAAAACACACATTTAAGGGGTCATGACATGGATTTTTATTTTATTTTAGTATGTTCATTGAGGTTTACTTATAATGTTAATAAAGTTAATTTTTTCCACAAAAAAAACAAAACAAATAAATGTGTAAAAATTATAATTTTAAACCCTCATTCTGACCCTCTGTCTAAAACTATCTGTTTTAAGGGGCGGGTTCTTTAAGGCTTCTCAGTAATCAGACACTGATGTGATTGGCTAACGTCACTGCATAGTCGGTGTGTTCTAAACGGGATATATCGCCCTCCGAAGGCCACTTCGGAGTGAAAACAATCATGGCCGCCATATTGAAGGGTCGTTCCAAACTGAAGTGCTCAAAACTGTCCACTTCAAAGGGCCCTTCGGAATGAAGGATTTCGAAGGGTACAACTGATGTACACTTCGGGCTCCCATGATCCTTTGCGCAGATTCTTTGCGTGATGACTGCGCCTCCATGTGGGCACGTGATGATGACGCAGAAGGGCACTTCAAGAAACAGTTGTTTGGTCCGATGCGCACAAAACACACATTTAAGGGGTCATGACATGGATTTTTATTTTATTTTAGTATGTTCATTGAGGTTTACTTATAATGTTAATAAAGTTAATTTTTTCCACAAAAAAAACAAAACAAATAAATGTGTAAAAATTATAATTTTAAACCCTCATTCTGACCCTCTGTCTAAAACTATCTGTTTTAAGGGGCGGGTTCTTTAAGGCTTCTCAGTAATCAGACACTGATGTGATTGGCTAACGTCACTGCATAGTCGGTGTGTTCTAAACGGGATATATCGCCCTCCGAAGGCCACTTCGGAGTGAAAACAATCATGGCCGCCATATTGAAGGGTCGTTCCAAACTGAAGTGCTCAAAACTGTCCACTTCAAAGGGCCCTTCGGAATGAAGGATTTCGAAGGGTACAACTGATGTACACTTCGGGCTCCCATGATCCTTTGCGCAGATTCTTTGCGTGATGACTGCGCCTCCATGTGGGCACGTGATGATGACGCAGAAGGGCACTTCAAGAAACAGTTGTTTGGTCCCCTACACCCTTCAGCCCTTCGAAGCTCTCACTCCAGAGGGTAAAGGGTGTAGGGATGAGCCCTTGCAAATGGAACGCAGGGCTAATCAATGCACCCTTGCTATTGCATGTGAGTGTTTTTACAACATGATCAAAATAAAATGGTAATTTCCAGACAAAGCATTATGAAATCATTTACTTATGGTTTGTGATGCAGATCTAGCACCACTTCCTCTTTCAACAGATGTTACTTTGTGACTCTCCATGACACTGTGCCTCGTTTACAAAACAAAATGCTCCGACACTTGTTCCTTACGCTGGGAAACTTCTGATATCTGTACAAAGACGCGAATGCTGTTTAAACCAAACGCATCAAAGCGAGCGTTCTTTCACTGCATTAGTCCTGACGACAGACTCGAGCGCTGGACTGTGTCAGAAAGAGAACCGCATCTGTTTACTGTATCCAGTGCAGACAAGATAGCGCAGTGATTGAGATTTCTATATGCTTTTGACACAATGCGACGCTAGCATTCACCGTGATCAAGTGTTCGCTGTTAGCGACTGAACGCCAGTGGGTGGGGCCTATGCCTAGAAGAAGACTATTCGCCAATGTGCTGCTCTGGAGGCGGAGTTTATGCAAACGACTGCACACAGGTGACGTCACCCTGCACCTCGGATCCAAAGAGCCGTTTTTGGAGCTCGATTAAATAAATGGTTTGTTTATAATGAGGAGGAGGTTTTAAGCTATGAAACTTGCAGGATGTTTTAGTGGTACAAAGACCTCTCATATGCCAAAAGATCATGGAAAACTTGATTTCTTATGTCACGATCCCTTTAAGAAAGAACTAAGAGAGCTCTAGAGATCACAAACAGAAATCAATCCAATCCTTATAAAACCATCCAAACGAAGAGATTTCAGACAGATGAAACAAACCCAACATGTTGAATGTGGGACGCTTTGACTGTTTCTCCACAGGTCAAGGGTCTGGAGTGGCTGGTGTCTCTCTATAACAACAATCTGAACGGGATCCTGGCGGATGAGATGGGTTTGGGCAAAACCATCCAAACCATCGCTCTCATCACGTACCTGATGGAGAACAAGCGTCTGAACGGACCCTACGTCATCATCGTGCCGCTCTCGTCAGTCGCTCAGCCTGTTTTTACATCAGCTTTCATACTTCTGTATGTTCACACAGAGAGTCTGTTTGATGAAAACTGTGTTTCTCTGACAGGACTCTGTCTAACTGGGTCTATGAGTTTGATAAGTGGGCGCCGTCTGTCGTCAAAGTCTCGTATAAGGTGAGCGACACACAGAGACACATGATCTGGAGTAAATCTGAATCAGTCTTAGCTTATCATGTCAACAGGTAAACATGAAAATAACTGTTAATGTTGTAAAGCTCATCAATTATGAAATGACGTCCGCTGTACTGAAGACAGTAGTGTTACTTTAGTTTATATTATGCCTGTGTTCTGCGAATACAGCAACTCTTCAACTCTTAAGTCCTTATGATGTTTCTTATGTCGCTTTGAATAAATGTGAATGTTTTAAGGAAGTAAATGGTCAATTTCATGATGACCTTTCAGTGTAGTGAGCCTGTTCTGTTAGTAGTCCTCCCACAAACCCAAGCGCTGGTTTGATCATGTGATCGTGTGTGTTCAGGGATCTCCTGCTGCTAGAAGAGCCTTCCTCCCACAGCTGCGCAGCGGCAAGTTCAACGTGCTGATCACTACATACGAATACATCATCAAAGACAAGCATGTGCTGGCCAAGGTATGTGTGTGCCTCTGTGTGGTCACCTGTGACCTTTGACCTCGGCCAGACGTGCTAATGAGATCCTGTCACCTGACACAGATTCGCTGGAAGTACATGATCGTGGACGAAGGCCATCGCATGAAGAACCATCACTGTAAGCTGACGCAGGTGTTGAACACGCATTACCTGGCTCCGCGGCGTGTGCTTCTGACCGGGACGCCGCTGCAGAACAAGCTGCCCGAGCTCTGGGCGCTGCTCAACTTCCTGCTGCCCACCATCTTCAAGAGCTGCAGCACGTTTGAGCAGTGGTTCAACGCTCCCTTCGCCATGACCGGAGAGAAGGTCCGTCTCTTTAACTAGTGCTGAGCACATCTCTGACACCGAGCCGTTATCACAGACACACAGACTGATTATGAGTGCTAATGCTGCTTGTGTTAGCGTAGTAGCAGGTGTTTACTATGAAAGCATGAATCAGACTTTCAGAAATGTGCTCAAACGCAGACATTTTATTCACTGTAACTTGATTATTTATTACTGGAGTCATATGACTTTGCTAAAATTAACATTATTTTGTGTATTTATGTGTTCAAGCGGTTTAAGGTTAAAAAAACACATTATTTTCCACATACCGTACATTATTGTCCCGCCTTTCTGAAACGCGTCGATTTTTACAAAGCTCATTGGTCTGAAAAGCGAGGTGTGCTCTGATTGGCCAGCTATCCAGTGCGCTGTGATTGGCCGAATACCTCAAGCATGTGACAGAAATGTTACGCCCCTCACCATATTTAGAAACACACAGCGTCTCCACGACAACAATACTACAGAGATAATAAAAGTTACGCCTTCTTTCTTTACGTAAACATTTGAGTGGTGTTATGCGAATCTTCCCACACAACGATGTAGATTTGCAGAGGCGCGTTTAAACGAGGCGTTTTAGGAAGGAACGGATGAGTCTTAACTTTTAGAAAGAATATCTCTTTGGGTTTGAGACGTTAATCTTTGCGACTTTTCGGATCTTATCTATGCACGAACAGCATGTAACACTCTAAAGACAAAGGAAAACTTGAAATCCCGTCGTATGACCCCTTTAAGAAAATAAACAGAGAAAAGCTAAAGTTAGTCATCGCTCAGGGATTGACCGTTAAGGCCTGTCCACACTAAGAACAATAACTATAATAACTATTTTACTAGTTATCGTCCTCACTGTCGGTCAATAACGTTATGTTTATTATGAGCGCTTTAAATGCTTGAGCTCTTTAAAGGAGACATATTATGCCCCTTTTTACAATATATAATATAAGTCTCAGGTGTCCCCAGAATGTGTGTGTGAAATTTCAGCTCAAAATACTCCACAGATCATTTATTATATCATTTTGAAAATGCCTATTTTGAGTGGAAGCAGAAACACGCTGTTTTTCGTGCCTGTCTCTTTCAATGCAAATGAGCTGCTGCTCCCCGCCCCCTTTTCCAGAATAGAGCTGCGCCATTACAGCTCAGACCTGCTAAACACATCTGTTTTGGTTCTGATTATCATGTTTATCGCGCTGAAATCATGTGTTTTAAACCATATGAGTTTAAACTTCTGATATAAAGCCTGTGTTATACTTTCCACATGCGCAATCTGGACGCGTACATGGACAGCGTGGACGCGGACTACTTGTATTTATACTACCGAAAGCATACGCTGATGGTCCGCTCCGTGGACGTGTTCCATGCATGCGCAGTAGATCGGCTTGAACAGTAAACAAACATGTGAACCAACAATAACAAACTAGAGGCACATAACTCTGAAGTAATGAATTTAGGTAAAGGGCTGCAGAGCCAGTGCTGGTTTTGTAGGCAAACACTAATGCCTTGAATTTAATGCGAGCAGCTACTGGTAGCCAGTGCAGATTGATGAACAGAGCTGTGACATGCGTTCTTTTCGGCTCATTAAGAATTAATCTTGCTGCCGGGTTCTGGATGATCCTAGAGGATGTCAACCTGACATTTCATTTACATTCACACATTTGGCAGACGATCTTATCCAAAACAACTTAAATTGCATTCAGTCACATCATACATTTTTATCAATTCATGCTTTTCCTGTCAATCAAACCCATGATCGTAGCGCTGTGCTTTACAGGCACGAAACGTGAAGTTGCCATTCAAAGCGAAGTAGTGGAATTCATTTAAATGTATCTCTATGTTCACATGATTGTGAGAAAACAAACTAACCAGTGTGATTCCATCCTGAGCCTTTAATGTTTGATTCTGCTCGTCAAGACATGCTGGGAAATGAAGAGCAGTAGTAGACGTGACTGATGTGTCTCTCAGGTGGATCTGAACGAGGAGGAGACCATCCTGATCATCCGCCGCCTGCACAAGGTGCTCCGCCCCTTCCTGTTGCGCCGGCTGAAGAAGGAAGTGGAGGCGCAGCTGCCTGAGAAGGTGATTCTGATGCAGTCTGTCTGTCGTCGCCTCGGACAGATGAAGCATTGTGCTGTTTTGTGTCTGTGTGCAGGTGGAGTACGTGATCAAGTGTGACATGTCTGCGCTGCAGAGGGTCCTGTACCGACACATGCAGGCCAAAGGAGTGCTGCTGACCGACGGCTCCGAGAAGGATGACTGTTTCTCCACAGGTCAAGGGTCTGGAGTGGCTGGTGTCTCTCTATAACAACAATCTGAACGGGATCCTGGCGGATGAGATGGGTTTGGGCAAAACCATCCAAACCATCGCTCTCATCACGTACCTGATGGAGAACAAGCGTCTGAACGGACCCTACGTCATCATCGTGCCGCTCTCGTCAGTCGCTCAGCCTGTTTTTACATCAGCTTTCATACTTCTGTATGTTCACACAGAGAGTCTGTTTGATGAAAACTGTGTTTCTCTGACAGGACTCTGTCTAACTGGGTCTATGAGTTTGATAAGTGGGCGCCGTCTGTCGTCAAAGTCTCGTATAAGGTGAGCGACACACAGAGACACATGATCTGGAGTAAATCTGAATCAGTCTTAGCTTATCATGTCAACAGGTAAACATGAAAATAACTGTTAATGTTGTAAAGCTCATCAATTATGAAATGACGTCCGCTGTACTGAAGACAGTAGTGTTACTTTAGTTTATATTATGCCTGTGTTCTGCGAATACAGCAACTCTTCAACTCTTAAGTCCTTATGATGTTTCTTATGTCGCTTTGAATAAATGTGAAGGAAGTAAGGAAGTAAATGGTCAATTTCATGATGACCTTTCAGTGTAGTGAGCCTGTTCTGTTAGTAGTCCTCCCACACGCTGGTTTGCTGGTTTGATCATGTGATCGTGTGTGTTCAGGGATCTCCTGCTGCTAGAAGAGCCTTCCTCCCACAGCTGCGCAGCGGCAAGTTCAACGTGCTGATCACTACATACGAATACATCATCAAAGACAAGCATGTGCTGGCCAAGGTATGTGTGTGCCTCTGTGTGGTCACCTGTGACCTTTGACCTCGGCCAGACGTGCTAATGAGATCCTGTCACCTGACACAGATTCGCTGGAAGTACATGATCGTGGACGAAGGCCATCGCATGAAGAACCATCACTGTAAGCTGACGCAGGTGTTGAACACGCATTACCTGGCTCCGCGGCGTGTGCTTCTGACCGGGACGCCGCTGCAGAACAAGCTGCCCGAGCTCTGGGCGCTGCTCAACTTCCTGCTGCCCACCATCTTCAAGAGCTGCAGCACGTTTGAGCAGTGGTTCAACGCTCCCTTCGCCATGACCGGAGAGAAGGTCCGTCTCTTTAACTAGTGCTGAGCACATCTCTGACACCGAGCCGTTATCACAGACACACAGACTGATTATGAGTGCTAATGCTGCTTGTGTTAGCGTAGTAGCAGGTGTTTACTATGAAAGCATGAATCAGACTTTCAGAAATGTGCTCAAACGCAGACATTTTATTCACTGTAACTTGATTATTTATTACTGGAGTCATATGACTTTGCTAAAATTAACATTATTTTGTGTATTTATGTGTTCAAGCGGTTTAAGGTTAAAAAAACACATTATTTTCCACATACCGTACATTATTGTCCCGCCTTTCTGAAACGCGTCGATTTTTACAAAGCTCATTGGTCTGAAAAGCGAGGTGTGCTCTGATTGGCCAGCTATCCAGTGCGCTGTGATTGGCCGAATACCTCAAGCATGTGACAGAAATGTTACGCCCCTCACCATATTTAGAAACACACAGCGTCTCCACGACAACAATACTACAGAGATAATAAAAGTTACGCCTTCTTTCTTTACGTAAACATTTGAGTGGTGTTATGCGAATCTTCCCACACAACGATGTAGATTTGCAGAGGCGCGTTTAAACGAGGCGTTTTAGGAAGGAACGGATGAGTCTTAACTTTTAGAAAGAATATCTCTTTGGGTTTGAGACGTTAATCTTTGCGACTTTTCGGATCTTATCTATGCACGAACAGCATGTAACACTCTAAAGACAAAGGAAAACTTGAAATCCCGTCGTATGACCCCTTTAAGAAAATAAACAGAGAAAAGCTAAAGTTAGTCATCGCTCAGGGATTGACCGTTAAGGCCTGTCCACACTAAGAACAATAACTATAATAACTATTTTACTAGTTATCGTCCTCACTGTCGGTCAATAACGTTATGTTTATTATGAGCGCTTTAAATGCTTGAGCTCTTTAAAGGAGACATATTATGCCCCTTTTTACAATATATAATATAAGTCTCAGGTGTCCCCAGAATGTGTGTGTGAAATTTCAGCTCAAAATACTCCACAGATCATTTATTATATCATTTTGAAAATGCCTATTTTGAGTGGAAGCAGAAACACGCTGTTTTTCGAGCCTGTCTCTTTCAATGCAAATGAGCTGCTGCTCCCCGCCCCCTTTTCCAGAATAGAGCTGCGCCATTACAGCTCAGACCTGCTAAACACATCTGTTTTGGTTCTGATTATCATGTTTATCGCGCTGAAATCATGTGTTTTAAACCATATGAGTTTAAACTTCTGATATAAAGCCTGTGTTATACTTTCCACATGCGCAATCTGGACGCGTACATGGACAGCGTGGACGCGGACTACTTGTATTTATACTACCGAAAGCATACGCTGATGGTCCGCTCCGTGGACGTGTTCCATGCATGCGCAGTAGATCGGCTTGAACAGTAAACAAACATGTGAACCAACAATAACAAACTAGAGGCACATAACTCTGAAGTAATGAATTTAGGTAAAGGGCTGCAGAGCCAGTGCTGGTTTTGTAGGCAAACACTAATGCCTTGAATTTAATGCGAGCAGCTACTGGTAGCCAGTGCAGATTGATGAACAGAGCTGTGACATGCGTTCTTTTCGGCTCATTAAGAATTAATCTTGCTGCCGGGTTCTGGATGATCCTAGAGGATGTCAACCTGACATTTCATTTACATTCACACATTTGGCAGACGATCTTATCCAAAACAACTTAAATTGCATTCAGTCACATCATACATTTTTATCAATTCATGCTTTTCCTGTCAATCAAACCCATGATCGTAGCGCTGTGCTTTACAGGCACGAAACGTGAAGTTGCCATTCAAAGCGAAGTAGTGGAATTCATTTAAATGTATCTCTATGTTCACATGATTGTGAGAAAACAAACTAACCAGTGTGATTCCATCCTGAGCCTTTAATGTTTGATTCTGCTCGTCAAGACATGCTGGGAAATGAAGAGCAGTAGTAGACGTGACTGATGTGTCTCTCAGGTGGAGGGGGGGGGTCTCTGAGCTCAGAATATATCCAAACCCATCCCGAGCATATAGGAATAATTAGGAGGGACGCTGGAAAACTGTGTCACGTAAATTCAGAAGAAATTGTTTTGTTTTCTAAAAAGATTTTATACAATTTATATCGGTATCAGAGGGATGAGTCAAGTAATGCCAGATCATCTTTTCTCCTCACAAAATCAATGTAATGCCAATATTTCCATCCGCTGAATGTAAGCTTTTCCATATTCCAAGTTTGCCTGCTGCTCTGGTGACTTCATGCATTCACGAGTTGTGAAAATTATGAATATAAATCTAGGAATTATTGGATTATTTGATTTCAAATCAGTAGGGGTTTTATGGATAGTAACTGTAATATGATTACTGAATTCTTAATATTAGTAACACTAGTTACTGCCCAACACTCAGGAATATGCTAAAGACGTGGGAACCGGTCGGGCCGACTCCATCATCGTGGCTGGCAGCGGTTACTCAGAGAAGACTAGTGCTAGAAATGATGTTTGTGTGTTTTAGGCACGACTAAAGCGGAGGATCGTGGGATGCTGCTGAAGACCTTCAATGATCCGGCCTCTCAGTGCTTCATATTCCTGCTGAGCACCAGAGCGGGTGGACTGGGTCTCAATCTGCAGAGCGCAGACACCGTCATCATATTTGACAGCGACTGGAACCCTCATCAGGTACCCTTCATCATCCTCATCCTCCTCATCCTCATCCTCAGCTGGCTCCTCTGATGCTCTCGGTCTGCAGGACCTCCAGGCGCAGGATCGAGCGCACCGCATCGGACAGCAGAACGAGGTGAGGGTTCTGCGGCTCTGTACCGTCAACAGCGTCGAGGAGAAGATCCTGGCGGCCGCTAAATACAAGCTGAACGTGGACCAGAAGGTGATCCAGGCCGGCATGTTCGACCAGAAGTCGTCGAGCCACGAGCGCCGAGCGTTTCTGCAGGCCATTCTGGAGCACGAGGAGCAGAACGAGGTCAGGACTTTCATTGGGCTCTACATCGACCTCGTTTACATGAACTAGACTATTCCAATATTAAAGGGGTCATGACATGAGGAACCAAATTTCTCTTGATCTTTTGACACAGAAGAGGTCTTTGTATGCTTAATACATACTGCAAGTTTCAGAACTTAAAATGTCCTCATCAATAAAAAAGAAAGAATCTATGTAATAACCCTCATAAAACAGCTCGTTTGGATCCGAGGTGCAGGGTGACGTCACTCGGATAAACACGCCTCCAGAGCAGCACATCAACGAATAGTCTTCTTCTCAGCATAGGCTCCGCCCACTGCCGTTCAGTCGCTTAAAGGGATAGTTCACCCAAAAATGAAAATTCTTCGTTCATCTTCGGAACACAAATTAAGATATTTTTGATAAAATCCGAGAGCTCTCTGACCCTCCGTAGACAGCAATGCAACTGAAATGTTCCCAGGTCCAGAAACAAAGCAAGGAGATCAATAAAACAGCCCATGTGACATCAGAGGTTCAACCGTAATTTTATGAAACTACGAGAATACTTTCTGAGCGCAAAGAAAACAACAGTAATTTATTCAACAATTCCATAATGGTACCCCAGAATATAAATAGAATAGAATAGAAAGCGCGTGCATGCTGAACGTAAACAATGCTGATTACGTTGTAAAGACACTCACGTGTAATAGTGAGAGGCGTTGATACAGTTTCCTATGCAGTGACGTTAGCCAATCACATCAGTGTCTGATTACTGAGAAGCTTTAAAGAACCCGCGCCTTAAAACTGATCGTTTTAGACAGAGGGTCAGAATCAGGCTTGAAAATAATCATTTCCCAAAACTTTATTAACATTACAAGAGAACCTCAAGAAACATATTAAAATAATAAAAAAAATATATGTCATGACCACTTTACAGGGAATTTGATTTTGTTTTATTAACGAATGCGTCATAAAAACTGCCGTAAACTGATTTAATCAAGTCCCAATGAGGCTGGTGTCGTCTGATATTATCCTGAATATTGGGTCATGTAAACCTTATTCAGAATATCAACTCTAACCGTATTTTGCACGTCCACACAAACGTGATTCTAGGAGTTACAAGGAAAGTTTTAAGATGTCAAACACATTTTGGAAGAGATTTGTCTCACAATGATGAAATGAATCACTATAAAGATGTGTTTGCAAATGTTTTTAGAAAGGTTTGTGAGGCCAGTTTTGTGCATAAATATAATAACATGGTTTTATAATGATCTGATGATAATGAGAGCATCTCCAGGATTGAGTGAGAGCCTTGTTTTGTCAGAATATGCGGATCAGCTCGTCTACAGGAATATCCTGGAAGCTGTGAAGCATGTAAACCTGGTTATGGATGTCTTCTCTCTGTTCTGTTCATCTAAAGCACTTCTGATTGCTTGCGTCTGTTTCTCCGTCAGGAAGAGGACGAGGTGCCGGACGATGAGACCGTAAATCAGATGATCGCCAGGAGTGAGGACGAGTTTGACCAGTTCATGGTCTCGTTTCACTTTCTCTCGCTTATGTTTGTCAGGCTCGATCACCAAATCCAGATCGAATCCAAATGAGCTTCCACTGTCTCTGTGTTTCTGCGCAGCGCATGGATCTGGATCGCCGCCGCGAGGAAGCGCGCAATCCGAAGCGAAAGCCTCGTCTCATGGAGGAGGACGAGCTGCCCACCTGGATCATGAAAGACGACGCCGAGGTGGAAAGGCTCACCTGTGAGGAAGAAGAGGAGAAGATGTTCGGCCGCGGCTCCCGTCAGAGGAAGGAGGTGGATTACAGCGATTCGCTGACAGAGAAACAGTGGCTGAAGGTCAGACAGACGCCTCATTCATCAGCTTGTCTTCCTCTGCTGGACGCTCCTGATCCATCCCTCTGTTCTCAGGCGATCGAGGACGGGACCCTGGATGAGATCGAGGAGGAGGTGCGCCACAAGAAAACGTCTCGGAAGAGGAGGCGCGATCGAGATCCGGACGCCATCCCATCCACTTCAGGTGCTCGCGGGGGACGAGAGAGAGACGACGACGGCAAAAGACAGAAAAAACGAGGTCGCCCGCCGTCCGAGAAGCTTTCGCCGAACCCTCCGCCGCTCACCAAGAAGATGAAGAAGATTGTGGACGCTGTTATTAAATATAAGGAGAAGTGAGTGTCAGAGTGGTTTCCAGTAGAGGCTGAGGAAAGTACAGGCCAGTGCTGAAACGGATGGTAAAATAGGACAGCTGATGGTTCTGGACCTGGGGACGGTTCTTGTGTCTTCAGGTGTTTCTCGTGAACGTGGTTTTGCGTGTCGCTCACAGAACACAGCAGATCCTCCTGGTGCTGAAGAGCAGGGCCATGATGTTGTTGATGATATTGAGCACTAGGTCTGTAACAGCAGGTGTTTTCTCACGTTTGTAATCGGACTGAAAAGTCTTCATGTAAACACCTTAAAGGTGCTGTATGTAGGATTGACACCCAGTGGTTGAACTAGGTATTGCAGTCCAAATTCAAAATATTGGAGAGGGTTTTTTCACCGGGCTCCTCCTCCTCAGACCTGACGCCAGATTGACCACACAACAGGAACGAGCGCACTTGATGATTAATTAAATTAAATACGCTGTGTTTTCCGCCAACTGGCAACCCGGGTGCCGAAATACAACTGCGTAAACTGGCAGTGGGCGGGTTAAACAGACCAAAACAAAGACAGACATTCCGAACCCAGTGGTTGAACTAGGTATTGCAGTCCAAATTCAAAATATTGGAGAGGGTTTTTTCACCGGGCTCCTCCTCCTCAGACCTGACGCCAGATTGACCACACAACAGGAACGAGCGCACTTGATGATTAATTAAATTAAATACGCTGTGTTTTCCGCCAACTGGCAACCCGGGTGCCGAAATACAACTGGGTAAACTGGCAGTGGGCGGGTTAAACAGACCAAAACAAAGACAGACATTCCGACCCGGAACGCACGTTTTCAAAGGAGAATATCTGACTGTAGCATTGTTTTTCAGATAAACAAGTGTGTTCATTTAGCATGTTTCTTAAATATCTGCAAACATATTATGGTATTTTGATACTTTAGTAGAGTCAAAAACTTACATATAGCACCTTTAATCGATCCGATTGAGCTCGATCCGAACGAAATCTTGACCAGATTGAAAGGGGTGATTTATTCCTTTTCTAATACAATTGAGAATGCATGTAAACGCTTGACTGAAACTGAAATGACTGCACATGTGCAATGATATAGAAATAGCGTAAACGCGCGGAACGAGCAGTTCTTCTGTTGAATAACTGCGTGTCCTGTCATTATAAAGCTCTCCCTTCACTCTGCAACTGTGAAGTGGAGCAAGTCCTTGTTTCGGATTCTCATCCACAGACCACAGGTTTTGGGCTCGGGG